CAAAATCGTGTTATACACTTGTCTGGTTTCCTTCGACGTTTTGCAATTCTCTAAAGAAAGCTGTATTGTTTCTTCCGACCATAAATTTATGAGAGTTCTTGTTGCTTCTTCTGACCACAATTTTCCTCGATTTTTCCCTTCTTTACACGCCATTTTGCAGTGCGAGAAACAAAACGCATGCGTGAAAAAATAAAAATATGCATAAATGGGGCCGCGGACCCATTTTTAAGCGGGCCGAGACTACCTCCTGAGGAGGTCTCGGCCCGCTTAAAATTTTGGGCCCGCGGACCCTTAATTTTGCGTTTACACGACAAAAATTAAGAGTGCCGTGCCCAAAAAAATGGGTCCGCGTGCCAAAATTTAAGCGTGCCGTGCCTAAAATGACTGTCGTGTAAACGGGGCTTTAATTACAAAATTATCAATTTACCAACCTGTATATATTAGTTATGTTATTATACGTAATATAAGCCTAAATTTGAGGTAAAATTCAACCACAAACGCTTCGCAAAACGTTCTACTGTAAAGTGTTCTTTGTGAAGCTAAACTGCCTTTAATTAAATGCTTTTATCGATAAACTCTGAGTTTGCAATAAAATGATTTCAAATTCTCGTTTGCAAATAACTTTCCTTCCTCTTTTATTTAAAAAAATTCAATATAATAAAAAAGGGAATCAATATTAAAGATACACTGAAATTATATGGTTTCTTGTTTAGTTGTTTCATATACACAAAGGCCGTCGGGTTTTAAAGCCGTTATAAAATCAATATTTAAAACAAACTTACCTTCGTTAACGTCGGCTCCCTTCTTTTAGCCGATTCTTTCGCCCTTTCTTCTGAGAAAGCTTTTGAAATTTACAAAATCTTGCAAAAATGCGAGCAAAAATGAAATATATTTGCAAGAAATTTATCAATCATCAGATCAAGAAATGTTTGCTATTTCGCAGTCGTCATGGAGTCGTAATAATGCAAACTTTAAATTGGACCAATCAGTGTCCGCTATTCATGACAGTCCGCCATATTTTTGAGATCAGTGAGGATGACCACCCATCGTTTGTTACCCACGCCCGCGATAATTGATGAACTTTAGACTTCTCTAATGCTTTCGTTTCCCCAGGTGTAAATAGCCGGGAGGAATTAGTACCCTCGCACGGCGCTTCGCGTCGTCGGCTCGGGGATTATTTTACTATACATATAGCCTGTGTATGTTAGTTATACACATTGAAACTTCAGTTAACTGGAGAATTAACATCGATTGTGTGATACAGTGAACGTATCTAATGGCATTGTGACCTGTGACCTTTACTAAAGTTTTAACATTTAAACGTGATTTGTGAATTTGTGAGTTGTTGGGCGAAAAAAGGCCTAGGGAGGCAATAATTCCCAACAACTAAAACGATCACGATTTTTAAACAATTTTGCTTCTTATTGCCTTGTTGAGTGATACTTTGGAAAAAAGGTACTATATTTAGTGAACACCCGCTTGGTAAGTCTCCTTCAATGGCAAATTGTCTGTCAGCCATAATTTCATCCCGGGCTCAATTTGCCGATGTGTTGCCAGCATAAAGCTCGACCACAAACACAAAAGTTTCCTTGAGCTGAAATACCAATAAGGGGCCTAATGGTATTTCTCCTCGAAGTATTACGATTCTTATAAACGTGAGTATACGTACAAGAAACAATAAAACAATACCAAATCACGAACATTTGTTCTATTATTTTTTAGACATTGACGAATGTTCTCTATCTGTGGATAATTGTCATTCCAACGCATATTGCACAAACACTGATGGATCTTTCCTGTGTACTTGTAATACTGGATATTCGGGAAGGGTAACTGTTTGTCAAGGTATAGGTTTTTATCTTATTTTTGTAATTGCAATCAAAAAGTGAAAATCTCGAAAACCCATATGGCCAGTCCTTAACCTGAGCATGGGGGGCAAACCCCCATGGACAGTCCTTAGATTTAGATATATTATGTGTGACATATATTGAGTCTATTGGCCTGAAGTTGACATTTTAAGGAGACTTTCTCCCGAAGCACAATTCTTTATTCCAATCACTCAACAAGAACTTACAAGCAAAAATATTTTCTGTGCACCAATAGTATACGTAATATCAACAGTGAATTAGACAAGGCTATATTATCCGAATTTTACAACATTTCGAAACGAAACTTTGGAATATTACTAATTTTGTGATGCTCTTTCAAGCTGTGATGAAATTTTTGTCCAGATCAAAATTTAGTCTATTACGCAAGTGGCCAATTAGATACGCTAGTCTACCAACAATGTTTGTGACTTTTGCACTTGCAATTGAATGTGCTTTCTTGTACTTTTAATTGTTCCAGAGTAATGTCCTTGAGATCGATTTGCAATAACAGCATCCCTTTGTATATAATCATCTGCAGTATTATATATACCAATACATACAATACATGTCTATCTATATTTTTCCATGGGAACAGGTATATTGTAGGCAAAGGAATGTTATTACTGCATTCCTTAATATTATAAACATTAAAACTTTAACTGATTTTTTTAAAATTTTAAACCCAGTGAAGGTAAGCAGAGGAGAAGTGGGTGGGTGGCAAAATCTTTCGATTATGTTACTCTGTCGACAGTTCAGAGTAAATTACGTTATTTTGCATGAACTCAGAGGAGGTTGGAAGCCCTTCCCGGCATGCATTGTAACTCATTAATATTATCGATTTCTCGGGCGCGCCGTCATTGTTCGACTAGCTCTCGTTGTGTTCACTACTCAATTACAAGGAGCGGTATTCTAAAGTACAAATTGAAAATTGTAAATCATGGCGAATTTTCGTACTGTTCGTGGGAATCGTGGCAACAAAGCTACTGATTTGGATGGACGTGACAATCTTTATGTACATTGTGTGTCGAAAGAGCGACTGGAGCTGCTTCGTGAAGGGATGTCGTCATTGTCGTGTGTAGAACTCGAAATTATGCTATGAACTTCTAGTTTTATGGATAACGACAACGGCGTAAAAGTTGAAGATATGTTCGCCGAATGCGATAGTCCTTCATTGATAGAAATCTATTCTAGTTGTGATCTTAAGGTAGGATTATTTTATTATTTAATTGGTGGGAAAACGGGCCATTTATACTCGGAAATCATACATTCAAGTATTTGACTTTATATCAAATGAGTTATCAGTCAAATCTATTGGGCCATTCCATTTAATATAGGCACACCCCCCTCTATTGAGGGTTCCCTTCATAATCCCCTTAGGATATAAAAATTTTAGAACCCCTTTGGATGCGATTTTTGGAAGTTACCCCATGGATATCTTTATACCCCCTTTAGGATATCGTTTTTACCCCCTTGGATATCACTAAAACACCTAATTTTTGCCATTTTTTTGAAAATCTCTTAAGCTACCCTCTAGGAAAATTTAAGGTAAAAACTCCCTCCCCCCCCCCATAGGGTATCCAGACCCCTCAATAGGGGGGGAGGGGGGGTGCCTATATTAAATGGAATGGCCCATTTTAATATGAGGGGCAAAGGGGGCAGAAGTGCACTTTGAGTTATAGAAATTCTACCTGCTAAATCTTATCTCTAGTTTTGGACAAAGTCATGAGGTATGAACTTGAATGTGACCTGATTAAGTGTGTTTGTGCAGTTATAGTTCCTTGAGTAGGCTTTATTGCTAAACACAGAACAGCCATAATAGGCCGTTTGCCGTGACCCGATATCGTTCACTTTCATTAAGCATGTCGTGGAACTGAAATATTTTCACTGTAACTAACATTTTCGAACACGCTGAATTCAAATCCGAAAAGTTGCCGCTCCGTAGACCCGCAGTTTTTTCACAAATTGCATTTGTATTTTCAGTTCTTCGACGAAAAAAATAAACACGCGCCATTTTGAAATTAAATAACATCACTCAGAGTATGCCGTTTTTGCTCCCCAGTCTCCGATGCTCATGACCCGAGTTAAGATTTGGAGCAATGTTATTTTAAAAATTTGCTGCAAAACAAACACAGTCACGTGGTTTTAAAAATGGCTAGTCAGAGTGATTTTCAGTTTATTTGCCAGTAAATCGCTAAAGAATGAGAAATAAAAGTTTAAATTATTTATTTGGCAGAGAAAAGCAATAAGGTAGATGTTCTTTGTGTATATTTTTTGAGTTTCTTTAAGGCTAAATGGCCTATAGAAGAACAAACAAGTTATTATAAAGTGAACAACCATCACGATTTATTCAGGTTTAATAGCTCTCAGATACATATAAGGAAAGGATTAATTATTAAAGGCCAGTCTGCTTGAAAACTCACAGTAAAATTGTTCCATATCAAGTTTGCTGTTTATGGGAATTATTGTTGGTCCTAAGGTATAAAGTAATTTATAGAAACTGTTATTCAAATATTGATTTATCACCCCATGAAATGTCAAGAAGGCCAACAAAGCCATGAACATTTGCATAGTATAAATAATGATTATTATATTTGCATAACCTACTGCTGACTTATTTATTCCATGCTTTATTGCATCTTCAAGATTTAGACTGTGCTAGAATATATACACACAAGAATATGTAATAGGATATACAAATAAGATTCAGCATGAATAGATTGGGTCTAAACTTGTATTAATTCCTCAATTACAAGGAAAGATGTTTGGCTGACAGAGATCAGCCTGATTTTGAGATCTACAGTAGCCGCTCATATAAGCAGCCCCTAAATTAGAATATCTACAATCCTGGAAAAAGTTATTGTGGACAGTGTGGACAAAAATACAAATACCTGCCTTGCCCAAACATATGTGCAAAAACAGCATTTTTTAACCGTTGAAAAGCTTCTGATTCGGTTGGGCGAAAGCTCTGTGACTGATGGGGGAGATGAAGATGCCAACATGTGTATGTGAACAGTAATACTTTAATCGTTCACACCTATAAGTGTCCACAGAAATTTTGCCATGATTGTAGCTATAGGTGGAAGCAAAGCTGTGAGTTCAAAATATATTCAACAGCATTAATGTTTTGTTGCCCAATTTGACAAAGTAATACTTTATGTGTTGTTATGCTGGGTTTTTTCCAGCTTGACAGTAAACAAGTTGTTTGTTTTGTAAAACAAAACAAACAACTTGTTTACTGTCAAGCTGGAAAAAACCCAGCATAACAACACATAAAGTATTACTTTGTCAAATTGGGAAATATAAGAAATAAGGAAAAATACACGAGTCCCAGGCAGGTGTGCTTGGATCTTAACCCTTTAAAGTAGTTGCATTGCTCCCCAATGCACCCTACTTTATTATTTTACTCTGTCTAATGCCAGACAATTTTACTCGTCAAGTGGAAAAGTGCTGGCGCTCATGCAATAGGTTAAACACCCAGGTCACTAACCTGGTGCTCTACTATGCAGTTGAGCTAAATGTGATCAATGACAGGCTGCGCTCAGATTTGTGTACTCTGCCCTGAATGGGGAAAGCCACATGCAAATAAAAAACATTTAATACAACTTTAGACCCAATCGATTCATGCAGAGTCTTATTTGTATATCCTATTATATATTCTTGTGTGTATACTGTATATTCTAGCACAGTCTAAATCTTGAAGATGCAATAAAGCACGGAATAAATAAGTCAGCAGCAGGTTATGCAGATATAATAATCATTTATACTATGCAAATGTTCATGGTTCTGTTGGCCTTCTTGACATTTCATAGGCATGGGGTGATAAATCAATTTTTGAATAACGGTTTCTATGATTTACTTTACACCTTATGACTAACAATAATTCCCATAAACAGCAAACTTGATATGGAACAATTTTACTGTGAGTTTTCAAGCAGACTGACCTTAATTAATCCTTTCCTTATATGTGTCTGAGAGCTATTAACCTGAATAAATCGTCATGGTTGATGATTGTTCACTTATTAATCACTTGTTTGTTCTTCTATAGGCCATTACCCAAAACAAACTCAAAAATATACACAGAAAGCACCTACCTTATTGCTTTTCTCTGCCAAATAAATAATTTAAACTTTTATTTCTCATTCTTTAGCGATTTTACTGGCAAATAAACTGAAAATCACTCTGACTAGCCATTTTTAAAACCACGTGACTGTGTTTGTTTTGCAGCAAATTTAATAACATTGCTCCAAATCTTAACTCGGTCATGAGCATCGGAGACTGGGGAGCAAAAACGGGTTAAACGGCATACTCTGAGTGATGTTATTTAATTTCAAAATGGCGCGTGTTTATTTTTGTTCGTCGAAGAACTGAAAATACAAATGCAATTTGTGAAAAAACTGCGGGTCTACGGAGCGGCAACTTTTCGGATTTGAATTCAGCGTGTTCGAAAATGTTAGTTACCGTGAAAATATTTCAGTTCCACGACATGCTTAATGAAAATCGTTTTCTAGGCATATTTTTAGGTCACGGCAAACGGCCTATAATAAATGGAACATGCACAATCAGGCTTTCATTGCCAAGTCAACACATAATTGTAGGCCTACAGAGGTGCCCTTGGTGCATGTTTGCCCCCCTTACCTTTTTATTGTTCCAACGTCCCTGTATATTAAATGCATGAAATGTTTTTTTACCTGTAGTACCATTGTACATTTAGTTTTGCTTTCATACTTACTGAAAATATTTCTTAAATTGATATATATATATATATATATATATATATATATATATATATATATATATATATATATATATATATATATATATATATATATATATATATATATATATATATATATATATATATATATATATATATATAGTTTTTCAACCAAAAAGGTCGCAGGCAAAAAGGATGACAAGTTATGTTGTGTTCTGTTGTGTTGTGGGAGTTTAACACTATTCCATCACCAACTTCTGTAACCATCCGACCACCCAAGCTGGATATTTTAGAGGATATATTGAATTACCTACTACTGGTGAATTTAGACGAGCCATTGTTATGCAATTGCATTAAGCAGCCATTAAATCCTATGTGTTTGGTTAAAATTCACGGTGAGAAGATGCCTGGTGATGTTGAAAGTATTGGTGCAGAAGGTGGAGTTACAGACATGGACAAGATTGATGAAATTCAGCAGATGACCCATGAATAATCAAGCTCTGATTAGGAAAATGATGGAGACAAGGATTCTGAAAGACAAGGATTATGGAAGAGGACACTTTGTATCCTGAGAAGTTTGTTGGAGCTGGTTCCTGGCGAGAACAAAGATACCAACTTGTGATAATCATGTATAGATGATCAAAAAATCTCAAGTTGGAATTTAAAGTAGAACATGAGCAAGACATTTTTAGTTGAGATTTTCATATAAATGTTTTCTTATTAAAAAATCTGTTATTATTTAAGGTAAAT